TGCATTTCTCTAATAATTAGCAATGTTGAGCATCTTTTCATGTGCCTCTTGGCCATCTGTATGTCTTCTTTGGAGAAATGTCTAATTAGGCCTTTTGGCCACTTTTTGGTTGAATTGTTTGTTTTTTTGATATTGAGCCACATGAGCTATTTATAAATTTTGGAGACTAATCCCTTGTCAGTTGCATCATTTGCACATATTTTCTCCCATTCTGTAGGTTGTCTTTTTGTCTTGTTTATGGTTTCCTTTGCTGTTCAAAAGCTTTTGAGTTTCATTAGGTCCCATTTGTTTATTTTTGGTTTTATTTCCATTACTCTAGGAGGTGGCTCAAAAATGATATTGCTGCGATTTATGTCAAAGAGTGTTCTGCCTATATTTTCCTCTAAGAGTTTTATGGTATATCGGTCTTACATTTAGATCTTTAATCCATTTTGAGTTTCTTTTTGTGTATGGTGTTAAAGAACATTCTAATTTCATTTTTTTACATGGAATAGTCAAACTTCCCAATTTTAAACAGATCACAGAACTACAGTAATCAACACATTGTGGTACTGGTATGGATAGACATAGAGATTAACGGAATAGAATTAGAGGACAGAGTAAATCCATATATATGATTTATATTTCTATATCAATATCTAATTATATACAGATATCCATATAGATATAGATATCTCCTGCATTTTCAGTTTAGAAACCACAAGAAGAAGATGATACATAAAAAGTAATTAACTCATGTCTGAAAGCACTGTGAAAGTGGAAGGGCTGACAGTCAAAACTAAGGAAGTAGAGAAGCTTAGAGATTTAGTACCATTCTTGTAAATTCCAGAGTACTTAACTACATAGCATTTCTAAAGGACCTGTTCTGTTTTATGACTAGAATATTTTGTGGTAACAGAATGTACCAACCCAACATCTGTCCTTAGAAAGTGGCATGCCTGCTGGCTGGTGGGAAAATGGCAGCTCATTAAAAAAAAAAAAAAAAAAAGTGAAGTAAAAGAAAACAGTTTATGGTGAAAATGCTCCTATTGAATTAGGAGAGTTCATGAAGATATTCGTCTGGTGATGGAAGATAGGACCTGAGATGTTCTCCCTAATGTGCCAAACTTTTGTCTGCTTTGTCAGTGCCTATGGATTGCCTGTATTTTTTAAATTATTAGTAAAGTTTGATACTGGGCCAGAACTCTGATTCATGTGAGTCTGATATGCCAATTCAATTCTGTGTTAGGTCAGGAGAAACAACAACAAAAATGTATAATCTGATTTTTCTTTTTAATCTTTATTGGAGTATAGTTGCTTTACCATGTTGTGTTAGTTTCTGCTGTACAGCAAAGTGAATCAGTTATATGTATACATATATCCCCTCTTTTTCAGATTTCCTTCCCATTTAGGTCACCACAGAGCATTGAGTAGAGTTCCTTGTGCTATACAGTAGGTTCTCATTAGTTATCTGTTTTATACATAGTAGTGTATATATCAATCCCAATCTCCCTATTCATCCCTCCCCCTCCCCCCTTAGTATCCATAAGTTTGTTCTTTACATCTGCTTTGCAAATAAGTTCATCTGTACCATTTTTCTAGTTCCACATATAAATGATATATTATGCTGTTTTTCTCTTTCTGACTTACCTCACTCTGTATGAAAGTCTCTAGGTCTATCCATGTCTGCAAATGAAGCAACTGACAAAGGGTTAATCTCCAAAATATACAAACAGCTCATGGAGCTCAATATCAAAAAAACAAACAACTCAACGAAAAATGGACGGAAGACCTAAATAGACATTTCTCCAAAGAATACATACAGATGACCAATAAAACATGAAAAGATGCTCAACATCACTAGCTATTAGAGAAATGCAAATCAAAACTATAATGAGGTATCACCTCACACCAGTCAGAATGGCCATCATCAGAAAATCTACAAACAGTAAATGCTGGAGAGGGTGTGGAGAAAAGGGAACCCTCCTACACTGTTGGTGGGAATGTAAATTGGTACAGCTACTATGGAGAACAGTATGGAGCTTCCTTAAAAAACTAAAAATAGAGCTACCATATGACCCAGCAATCCCACTACTGGGCATAAACCTGGAGAAAACCATAATTCAGAAAAATACATGTACCCCATTGTTCATCGCAGCACTACTTACAATAGCCAGGACATGGAAGCAACCTAAATGTCCATCAACAGAGGAATGGTTAAGAAGATGTGGTACATATATACAATGGAATATTACTCAACCATGAAAAGGAACAAAATAATGTATAATTTGACTTTTAATTCTATATATTGTGAGTTTATTTTCAAGTTAATTTTCTGTAGTAAAGTCACAATAGATCATTTGAACTTCAGAAACATTTTTTATAGCTTTTTCTAACTTTCTTCCTCTTATTTATTTATTTATTCTTACTTTCTTTCAAAAAAATAACAGCAAGTGACACTAGTTTCTCCTTCAAGGATCTCATAATCAGTGTAAAAAATAGATTAATAAATAAAGTTATATTTTGATAAGTTCCTGATTATGATGTATGTATTATACAAATTGTTATTTACATTTATTTATCAACTTTTTAGAGGAGTAGTTATCAAAAAGAATTACCTAGCCAGTTCTATTTCCAATAGGCAATCTTAATTCTTGGAGAAATTAACAACTATTTCAGAAAAGTGAAAACCAAGATTGCTTTTGCAAAATATTTGTGGATTCCATGATTATAACTGCTCTAATCTGTGAAATATGCTCTTTAAAAAGCTGAAGACTATCAATGTGCATGAAGGGAAAATAGCACGCATTTTTTTATCTCTTCAACAAATATTTATTTGGAAGCTACTATGTTCAGTGATTCACTAAATAAATGCAGTGGTTCATCAAAGGAGAAATGATAAATATACGCTCAAAGTATTGATATAACTATTATCCTGAGAAGTAAATTTAGATGTTGAAGCAGACTTTGAGTAGTTCTTAAACTAAGGTTTAACTGTTAAAAATAGTATTTGTTTGCTATTTTACTTTAAGTGTATGGTATGCTATTCAGTTGTGTACAGCCGAATCATGAAACTAAAGATATTAATAGGACCTGATTGATATTTGTGGTATTCTTAAATTGCTCTCATTATTATAAAATATTAATATCCCTAAGGTTGAATTTATAACTTGGAAAATATTTTGTGAGATTATAATTGAGATTTTTCTAATACCATCTTAGTATGGTATCATAACCTTACCAAGTCATGGATTAATCATGAATTTTTATATTTCTCTATTAATTTATCAATATTTTAATTGATTTTTACATACACCATTTTCCTTAGTGTCTTTGTATTTTTGTTGAGGCTGTCTCTTCCATCTTCATAGTTTCTCAGTGAATCTGGAGATCATCTATTCTTTAAGGTTGAGGGCATAGATTTCACATGGTTCATGAATACTGATTTAAAGATTCCAGCCCATATTGATCAATTCATATTTTGATCTCTCATTTTTAAAGTGAAAATCATGGCCCCAAATTAATAATTCTCTTATAATTTTATATTAAAGAGTTATTGATTCAACAGATTGTAAATTTTGAGTTATATACAGAGCAGTTAAAAAATCAATGTATTAATTAAGTTGTTTTCATACCAATTTATACTTCATTTTTAATTGCTATTAATGATGATCTGGGTTTTTTAATATTCCAAGAAGGAGCACAATTAGTATTTTTTAAATTTTTTTTTTGGTTTAACTACATACAATAAAAATTTTTCGTATGCAAAAAATTTGAAAAGCAAAGGGGTGGACAGTATTGGTTGTAATGGACCATTATTTGTTACAAAAGCTTTTATAGATAATAAAAATCCATATCTTCAGAGTTGAAAGAAGTAATGACAGGAATGAATAAAGAAAAATGTATAAAAGCGTTTAACAGAAATGTGAAGTGAAGTAGAATAACATTCAATATCCCTTGTAATCAAAGATTTGTGTATCTGTGTGTTTAAAATCCTTGCAAATGGCTAGAATCCATTACTGCTAAGGGGTGAAGAAACTGCATGAGTTAAATCAACTCCAACTTTGTGTCTAAAGCCACAGAGTTCTTGGCAATCATTCCTCCAAGAATTCTGCTTCCTGAAAGTGGAAGCAGCATGGGATTGGAACTGTTTTGCACAGATTGGTCATAGCATTGTAAAGGGTAATGGAAAAACAACCCAGCCCATGCAGGACACCTGCTTGGGGAAGGGGGCAGAGGAGACAGCCGGCTGGAAGGCCACCTGCCAATGCACAAGCTGCCCATTACCGTGGCTCCTTCTGGTAAATCACAGCACCATTAGAATGAATGCTGATCACCTCAGCTTGCATGTTGGAATGCCCACCCACGTGCGCGGTCAGAGACTCCACTCCAAGAAAACACACGGGCCCACTGATTGCTACTCAGGGACCAAACACCAGCTTAAAAGTGAGAGGTTCAGAAGAAGCGCTGGCATTACCTAACAGCTTGTTAGAAATGCATATTCATGGGCCCAATGTACTGAATCAGAATCAGTGGAAAAGGGGCTAAGAAATTGTGTTTTAACAAGCTCTCGAGGTGATTCTTACACACATTAAAGTTTGAGAACAAATGATGCAAAAGAAACCCAAAGCAGACTGACCCTGCATTTCTGCCCCCTGTGCATGAGGGCCTGACTCTGACCATAAAATCATAAAAGGGTTAGTAGTTTCAAAACGATAGAAACTAAGAAAAAAACAAAAATAAACCTACCACCTATCAGCCTCTCACATCAAAATATGAATGAACAGAGTCAATCTTTTATAAATTTGCTTAATTTTGAGTGAGCCAAGATCTTTATGCCATTGGAAAAAAGGAAATTCATTTATTTACTAGAATGGCACTACAAACTCACGTTTGCAGCAAAATAATCAAACCACTATCCATCGAGATACAGGAAAAAAATAAATGCACAGATTTAAGGATATTTGCTTCTCTTGAACTTTAGTAGCGGAAGGAGGGCTGTTCCATGCCCCGGAGAGCACTTATGCAACAGTACTCTGCGGGATCTGGGGACATGGTGCCCGGGCCTTCAAGAACTCGAGTTGTTCCATGTTGTCAGCTCGGGCGCGCTGCTCCCGGTGACTCGACGCCAGGCTCAGGAGCACGCTCTTCACCCGGCGCTGGACAGCTGGCCGCCCAAAGACGGTGATTTCCACCAACTTCCCGGCATGAACTGCGTCCACCGTCAGCAGGGCCTGGCTCATCCACTCCATTTCCGGAACCACGGCTCGGTCTGGGCCGAAGATGGAGTTGGTCAGCCACGCCTCCAAAGAAAACACCAGCGGGTTCCTCAGCTCCTGCACAGGAAACCACCACGGCAGGGAGCGAATCCCTGGTGGCGGAAGTGGGAACCCCAGCAGCCCGTCCCCACGGGCCTCGGTGGCGCCCGTGTCGTCGACCATGCTCGAACCGGCAGCCAAAATTATTTTAATTTCTTAAGTTTTATTTTGAGTAACTAATTTCAGCTTTATTCCTTTAGCAGTAAACAATAAATGTCTACAATATATGATTATTATGATAGGTTTTGGATTGTAGCTTGGGTTAATCCAGCAACATGACTAATAAACCTGTCAAATTTTAACATGAAAAGTTTGTGAGCTAGTTGAACTAGTGGTGGTTGAATTCAAAGATGATTTAATTTAAAAAATTGTGTCATAGGAAAAAGGGAATATAAATGCAAATTCAGAATATAAATTTCACATGCATATACATTTACACAGCAGGTGTAAATACAAACACACACACGCACACTTCTAACCAATCATCAACACACTCAACTTATCCAGTGACTCATTGTGTATAGATAATTGGAAAGAGATTAGTAAGTGTATTTATCTTTTAATATAAATTGATTATATATTTATACTTATACTCTAATAAGTTCAAAATTGCATGGGGATTTATTCCACAGTTAGATACCACTTATAACAGCATAATCACTCATGGACCTTTCTAAGAAATATTTCTCAGAAAGATTTATATTATTCCTACTATTATATTACTTATAGCAATTTTTAGCTTGCATCTGTTAGATATGGATAAAGATTCCATATTTATTTTTATAGTATATCGATAATATTTCATTGTTAACAATCATGTCCATAATCTGCATTGAAAATCCTTGTTTTTCATGAATCATTGTTCATGCAACAATATAAAATACATTTATTTAGCACATAATTTGTACAAGCAACTCTGGGGTATAATAGACATAGAAGAAAATTATAAGTTTTGAGCAAAGATAAAGGATATATTTTTGAAATCTAAATAGTACTACAGAATGAATTAAAATTTAAATTCTTCCTAGCTCTATTTGTAGCATAAAGTCTCCAGACTCAGATTAAACAGTTGTGCTGCTTCTACAATATAAATATAAGATTTCCCACCATAATAGAAAGTGGGAGATTTTACTATTACAGACATATTCTGAACAATTTAATACAAATACTTTAATTTATGTCAAGCACTGTCTGAAATCCATCTGATAAACATGATACCCTTTAAAAAATTATCCAAAAATTCCATACCATTTGCAGCTATATCGATGAACCTAGAGATGATCATACTAAGCAAAGTCAGAACAGAAAGGCAAATACCATATGATATCACTTATATGTGGAATCTAAAATATGACACAAATGTACTTATCTATGAAACAGAAACAGACTCACAGACATAGAGAACAGATTTGTGGTTGCCAAGGAAGTGGGAGGTGGTGAAGGTTGGAGTGGGAATTTGCGGTTAGCAGGTGCAAACTAGTGTATATAGGATGGATAAACAACAAAGTCCCACTGTATACAACAGGGAACTATATTCAATATGCTGTGATAAACCATAATGGAAAAGAATATATATATGTACATCTGAATCACTTTACTGTATACCAGAAACTAACACAAAATTGTAAGTCAAGTATGCTTCAATTTTTAAAATTGCACATTCAAAGCATTAAAAACCCACTAATAAAATCAGTAGCTATTAAACCATAGTGCACACTGGGTCTGTATATTCCTAAATTTTAGTACTGACTTAGTTATGCTTAGCATTAAGTAATCAGTTTTGAGTTGTGTTAAATATTTAGACTTCATCACCACCAAATCATTTTTGAAAGTGAATGCAGAACTCTTGCAAATCATGGAGTCCTGTAGGACTTGAGGTATTTGAAAGTGAAAAAGACATTGAGAACAGCAGTTCAGCAATGAGTACATGATATGCCTTTCCCTGTGGCTCAATCAAATATTGGAGAAAACCTTAAAGGCTGAGGCAAGATGTTTACTCCCTGGAGTAGGACACTCTGATATTAAGCCCAATTATTAACCTTGTTCTGTATTTTCTACCTTCTTGCAAAACTTGTGCAGTGCCAGTCAACATCAATCCTTGTGGAAACTCTGTGGAATCTGCTGAAAAATCCCAAAGAATATAAATTTCTTTGAAAAGATTGACAAGGCCATATCACATTATGATTTAGAGCCAAATGATTTAAGGCTTTGCATTTTCATGAACTTCTAGTGGTTGACAATAACACACTAAAATGATTGAAGTGCTGTGAGGGAAATAAAAATCTTGCAGTGCTAGGGGAGGAGTGATGTATATATTAACTATTTCTTGGTTCTTACCACTATCCTAAAAATTTTGATCAGCTTTAAAAAATAAATGAAGGCTACTGTTTTTAGGGGTTTTTTTCTTTTTCCTTTTTATTGAGCAGTAGCTCTCTTAACACTGCTGCTGCTCTAGAAGTTGAAGAAACAGTTTTGCTGGGCTCTTAAAAATTACGACTATTGGCTAGGGTAGGAACATACCTTTTACATTTTTCATATAAATATTTAAGCAATAAATGATGAAAACCTACCTAATTTCATCTAGTCATTTCCTGAGGTAGGTAGAGTTTTTATGTTTGCTCTTCTGTGGTTCAGTATCAAAAAGGGTGACTGGATATCTTACTCAGGATCAAAAGGTAGAATTTGTACCTTGTCACCCTGTGGCTATCAGATGCCTAAGTATAAAGTAAATTTCGTAGGCATCAAGATGGTGGAGTAGAAAGATTCTGAGCTCACTTCCTCCCCACAGGTACCCCCAAATTAAAACTACTTACAGAGCAGCTATCTCTGAAAACAACCCAAAGACTAGCAGAAGATTTTCTACAATTAAAGGTATAAAGGAGCCACAATAATATGGGTAGAAGGGACAGAAATGCAGTTTAGTCAGAACCCACATTGCCAGGATGGGGATCCACATAGCCAATGTTGGGACACTCACAAGTGGGTCACGATTGCAGAGGTCCTCCCCAAGGAGTGAGGGGTCCTAGCCTCACATCGGACTCCCCAGCCTGAGGGTCCTGCATGAGGAAGAGTAGCCCCCAAAACATTTGGCTTTGAAAGTCATCAGGGGTTACACTTACCTCTTACCTCTGGAGAGCCAGAGGGATATAGAAAACTGAGATCCTCTCTTTGTTAGGTTGTTCATCTGAATGTCCAGTTCCACCTCAACCAATTTTCTAATAATTTTAACTCCAATTAATAAAACGTGCCTGAGTGAATTATATTGTTAGAGTTGTATATTGATCATTTTCTAATTTCTTGCACATTTACTTGCTAGCTATTTTTCTGTATAAGTCTATTTTTCCCTTAACAGCTTGGAACATTTGGTTACCATGAAACACAATTCCTGCTAGAAATGTAGACTATGTTAAATTTTTTCCTTTTTTTTTGTTTTTCAAAGTAAAACTTTGGTTATAAGTCATCTTAGGTGAGGAGAAAGGTACTTTTTGAGCAGTCTCTTTGTGAAGATCATTTTAAACTTCCAAATATTCATAGATTTGTAGTGTTTCAATCAACTACAATCCTTGTTCTTTTGATTCTCAAATTGTCAGTTTTTCCATTCTGGGTCCCTTGAAGTTGGCTCATGGGTTCGTTTATTATGGCCCAATTAATCTTGAAAAGCTTCCTTGTTTTCTGTCACAATAAGCTATCCCAAGTTCTTGTTCTTTTCCTTACCAAAACCTACTATTTTTAGCTGTAAATGGTTTTGCAGTTCACAATGTGACTTTAGAGGTATTAATTAATTGCAAGGAAATATAGTGTCTAAGCCATTTAAATGTTCAGAGCAAGAAATGTGTATGTTTAGGCCTTCCCTGGTGGCACAGTGGTTGAGAGTCCGCCTGCCGATGCAGGGGACACGGGTTCGTGCCCTGGTCCGGGAAGATCCCACATGCCGCGGAGTAGCTAGGCCCCTGAGCCATGGCCGCTGAGCCTGCGCGTCCGGAGCCTGTGCTCCGCAACGGGAGAGGCCACCACAGTGAGAGACCCGCGTACCACAAAAACAACAACAACAACAACAAAAGAAATGTGTATGTTTAGAATTCATGTTTTTAATATTTCCTGTTCAGTTTTAGCATACAACATAACTACTTCGATTTTATAATTTTATTTTTTCTTTTACTGAAACTATTGATTGACAATATCAACTTATTTATTCTCTCCTACAATGTACAAAATATATCAATTCCTACAAACCTAAACACTGGAAATTAAAAATGCAAAATGACGGTAAAAACTATTGGGGATTTTTGTCCTTAGAATACAACCTACTAAACATGTAAAATTATAGTACTGTCTCATATGCAAAGAATAATTTCCCTGGTTTAGTTTCTCATTTGATACATAGTTAGTTTCATTCATTTTGGGGAATTCTTTTCTATTTAAAGGAATTCTTTATGTTTGGATTTTTACCAATTGAATGGTTGAGAAATGTTTTTTTTTTTAGCATCTTTATTGGAGTATAATTGCTTTACAATGGTGTGTTAGTTTCTGCTTTATAACAAGGTGAATCAGTTATACATATACATATGTTCCCATATCTCTTCCCTCTTGTGTCTCCCTCCCTCTTTCCCTCCCTATCCCACCTCTCTAGGTGGTCACAAAGCAAGGAGCTGATCTCCCTGTGCTATGCGGCTGCTTCCCACTAGCTATCTATTTTACATTTGGTAGTGTATATATGTCCATGCCACTCTCCCAATTCATCCCAGCTTACCCTTCCCCCTCCCCGTGTCCTCAAGTCCATTCTATGTGTCTGCGTCTTTAACCCTGTCCTGCCCGTAGGTTCTTCAGAACCATTTTTTTTTCTTAGTTTCCATATATATGTGTTAGCATATGGTATTTGTTTTTCTCTTTCTGACTTACTTCACTCTGTATGACAGAATCTAGGTCCATCCACCTCACTACAAATAACTCAATTTCATTTCTTTTTATGGCTGAGTAATATTCCATTGTATATATGTGCCACATCATCTTTATCCTTTCATCTGTTGATAGACACTTAGGTTGCTTCCATGTCCTGGCTATTGTAAATAGAGCTGCAATGAACATTTTGGTACATGACTCTTTTTGAATTATGGTTTTCTCAG